TCAAAACTCTGGCAATTTGATAATACCAAGAATATCAAAATCAACTGCGGGCGGCAGATCCTTTTCCTATTTAACTCTGGAATAATCTACCTAACATTGTTCGGGAGGCAGACACACTCTTGTCAGTTTAAATCTAGATTAAAGACCCATCTCTGACACATAACACACTAACACATTTCTAATATTCAAATCCGTTAAAGGATTTTTAGGCTGCACTAATTAAGACAACCGGAACCGGGAACACTTCTCATAACACCCGATGTACTTGCTACATCGTTAGAAGAATGGCATCTACGCTAATATTAGTCTGTTTCTCTCTTATTCCGAGGTCACCGTAGCCACCAGATCCAGTCTGTATTCAGACCAGATGGTGGATCAGCACCTAGAGAGGACCTCCACAGCCCTGAAAGACAGCGGAGACCAGGACAGCTAGATGAGCTCCAGAGACAGATCCCCTGTGAAGACCTCGTCTCCTAGACGGCCACCGGGACAAGACCACAGGAACCAGATTATTCCTCTGCACAATCTGACTCTGCTGCAGTCTAGAATTAAACTGCTGGTTTCGTCTGGCCAGAGGAGAATGGCACACTATTTCGACACACTATTTCCCTGTTTAATACTGTAAAGCTGCTTTGACTCAATTGGCATTGTAAAAAGCGCTATATAAATAATGGTGACTTGATTTGACTTGACTTGTTTTGAGCGAAACATTCAGCTCTGAAATAGAGTTCGGACCAGACAGTTTTACTTCAGTAGGGATGGAAAGTTAACTTACACTAATACTAGTGTAATTACAGTACATAATTTGGTTCCACCAATTATCCAAGAGTAAACATGAAATGGCTTTGCTGCCATAATGCGATACATTTATAAGTGAAACTAAATATTTAATCAATGTCGTCAGAAAGCTTATATAATATAGTAAATATATAATTTCTATTATTATTATTAAATTTACAAGATACATTATTAATAATAAAATTAACCATTTATTTATAGAGCACTTGTATATGTTTTATAACATTTTATAATAACTTTATTTTTTATGTCAAATGATATACAGAAGAATTTATACATGAAAATGGGAAAATTATGTAAATACAAATCACAAATATAAATATAAAAACATATGTAATATATAAATATAATATAAATATAAATAATGTGGAAATATGTAATTTTATTCATATAAACAACACATTTGTTTTATTATATACATAAATTTATGAGAAATCATGATGAAGTATCATAAAAAGTATATTTAGTATGCAAAAATAGTATATTTAAACATTTACGTAAATATATGTAAATTCATCTATGCAAATAATAAATATTCATGGACTGCATGCAAAATTCAACAAGCTCAAAAAATTATTTTATATTTTTAATGTCAAATCAGGCAAGCTTTGTTATATTTTTATGTAATATTTAATTTATAAATGATGTTATGTTTTCACTTTTTGTACATTTTCGCTACTCCTATGTAAACTAACTCATGCAGGGTTAAAATGAAAGGGGCTTGCGCTGCAGAATCGAGTGCTAACTCTGAAATTAGCATGGATATCAACTATGACTGATAATACAGCAGGGTCATCTTCACTTCTTAATTATAACCGAATAAATCAGCTGTGACGATAATGACCCGAATCAAACACTGGGCTTCGGAGACAGCGGCTCATCAGGCGACGCTAACTGATTGATTCCTCAGTGCTGAATAACAAACCAGCCACTTCATAAAGCTTGTACTGAAACATCTTTAAAGTAATGTTTAAAATCAAGTATAGATTTGCATAACTCTTGCAGAGCTGCATTTATTGGCTTGTGATAAATAATTGATTTGAATATGTAAATGTGCTGCTTGACACCTCTAGAGACGGAGTGTGGATGTAGCTTAGCAACACAAGTGTGTGGTCAGTTGTCAGGCAACCCTGTGGAGGCGGTTGTATGGAGTGTGTGTGTGTGTGTGTGTGTGTGGTGGGAGAAAAGTGCTATTGTTGGCAATAAGGAGTGACAGAACAGACCATGAACACAGAGTGGTGTGTTTGTGTGGTGTTTGTGTGTGTACTGTACTGTACTGTGTGTGTGTGTGTGTGTGTGTGTGTGTGTGTGTGTGTGTGTGTGTGTGAGTGTGTGTTCGTG